ACTTGCAAGTCTTCAGGAGTCAAGACAGGTCATTTTAGGTGCAGGCTTTGAGGAACGGCTTTCCTTTCTTTGCAGGTGCGGTTGAAGCCGAGATTAGTCTTGAAGACAGAGATGCATTCCTTAATGCGTATGTAGCGCTTGACGAGCTGCATGGTATCGTGTCCGAACTCTTGGCTGGTTGACTTGAATGTAAACATTCGAGAGATGTCTGTCTTGTTGGGTATGAAAACTGGGTCTTGTTGGGTCTTGTCTTGTTGGGATGAATGCCAACGTTGGAAGCGACCTATTGCGCCCCCCGTTGGACTTCTTCAACCGATATCCATCCCAACAGAACCTTTCTTCCATGTTGGTATATCTTCCGTGTTGGTATAGATCTTCTCAGTTCTTTTCCTGAGTCGAAATCGGGCAACAATTGGGTCGCAATTGCTATAGACTATGCTACTAGGTATGCCATCATTCGAGCACTCCCCACCAGCACCGCTTCTGACGTTACGAACTTTTTGCTCCACAATGTCATCCTACACCATGGCGCTCCTTGCCAATTAATCATGGATCGCGGCCCCGCATTTTCGTCCCAAGTAACTGACGATCTTCTGCGCTCTTCCTTGACCCAGCACAAGTTGACCACTTCCTACCATCCCCAAACAAATGGCCTTACCGAACGCCTCAATCGTACCCTCACAGACATGCTCGCGATGTATGTGTCCTCCGACCACCATGACTGGGACCTGGCGCTACCTCACGTGACCTTCACGTACAATTCTTTGCACCACGACACCACTGGTTATTCACCCTTTTATTCGCTCTATGGCCGGGATCCGATGTTACCACTCGACACCCTACTTCCAACCACTACAACGCTGTCAACCAAATATGCACGCGACGCTATTGCTCGTGCTGAGCACGCATGTCAAATCGCCGCCCTAGACTTTTGGCTTCGCATGCCACCCAGAAAGCCATTTACGATAGCCGGCATGTTGACGTTCGCTTCTCACCCGGTTCTCTCGTTCTCTCCTGTGGTGCCCAGTTCGTCGAGTTGGCTTATTGTTGTCTCACCACATGGGTCCTTACCGTATTATCCGCCAGGTAACCGACGTCACTTATGAGATCATTCCTGCATCTGAGACCACAAGCCTGCCAGTAACCACACCCAGTGATGTGCATGTTAGCAGGCTAAAACCTTACCACCTGCTTACTGAAGACCGTAGTTAATGTGCAACAAGACGGCGCTTTTACCGCCAGGGGGGGTAATACTGCTACGTAGCTGACATATCAGCGGTCAGAAGATGACAACGAGGAAGTGGTCTGTCAGTTGTGCGTGCTGTCCTTCATCTTAGTCGATGCTACATGCATCAGTTTCAATATAGATTCTAAATAGACACGGCTCATGTCATATTTACGTAACAATATTGCCCGTGTAAAAATGTGCTGAACTCATTTGGAATTTCACCAGGTCCCTGCGCAGTGCGGGGCCTACGCGCACTTGACCTGCGTCGACAGTAGTTCGCTGACAAGGCTGCAAAGCAGGCGATAATGGAGGCCTGTCAGGCCAGACGTCTCGAATCAAAAAAAAAGAAAAAAGTGATATTGGTGATGGGTATATGGCTGTTGCCTATTGAAAATGTCCTTCGATTGGCAGTTATTTTGTGGTACTTTTGAAATAAATCATACTTTACACTTCAAACGCGATTATCTGAAAACGTAGTGTTTTGTATTCAAGTACCTTTTTCTCGGTAACCACTGTATCTAGAAACTTTGATTTCAGCTATTTAGAGAACATGCTAGAAAATATACTGAAGCAGAATTATTGTGTAAGGAAGTGCTTTTTTTTTAACACCTAATACCAATTAACAGGTGGTATTTAGTACCTCAAGTGAAAAAATTACAAAAAATTTGTGTTATAAGTTATAGGGGTAATTCTGCTTCAGTAAGGAGAGGAGTGGCTTATGATCACAGTGGTTGTAAAATAATTACTGTAACTTTTAGGGTTACGGAGAAAGAGGTACGTAAGCTTCATCTAAAATACATGGCGGGTTTTCCCGTAAATGGAAAAGTGGGAAAAAATATGATGGTCTTTAGAAGGCAATACTGGTTGGGGTCTAGATAAAGTGAGTTAAGCATGATGTATCAAGGAGATCAGTGCAAGTGCACGCTGTAGCAATGCACCATACTAAAATGTCAAATGAGTTCATCAAGGTCATCTTGGTCACTAATGCGAGTTACATTCTCAACTTGAGTTCTGCGCCCAAAAACGTGTCCATTTTTCTGCCACACATAGAGATAGTTTTTTTTTTTTTCAGAACTTCTTTATTGGACAAGCCACGAAAGCCACATGTTTGCAGGTGTCAAATTATCGTAAATCTTAACCCTTGGTTTCTTATTACTGAGATCAGCGATTTTGCATTCATTCTGCTAGAAATGGGATGAAAATCGGCTGATTACGACGGCTTCGATGGTGTCAGACGTGTTCAGTCACGAAAGGGTGCTAATTATACAAGTGTTTGTTATGTTGTCACTATTGTCACTATCTTGTCTGTTTGTGTGTTTATTTACATTTGTCTTTTTTGTTCATTGTCTTATACACCATGCTTGCCCACTGACTCACCTTATTTTTCTCTACGGAGAGGCAATGCTTGCAGGCAATATGTCCCAGATTTATCTGCTTCATTATGCAGCAAGCTTTCAAATGAAATTGTGCATCTTCAGTTTTGGGGGGGGGGGGGGGGGGAGCTAGGTATATACTCACACAGTTTGTTGTGTTAAATCATTGTGCATGCAGCTGGAACATCTAGGAACAGTGAATTTCTCAGCTTACAAGCAGAAAAGCTGGTAGAGAATTCAGTAGTATGTTGCGTGCTAACAAGAGCTGCATTGATAACTGAATATTTATTGTTGAAAATCTTTGTATACCGTGGAACCTAACTAAAGAAACTGCATAGACTCCAATCCTCACATTTGATCTACCAGTCATGTTTGTGTCCTTGGTTTGCATGATGTATATTTGTAACTTTAATTGCACACTTTCATTTCATGATATCTAAAGTGAGAGTCTTTAAAGAGTAGCAGGAGTCCTCGTTAGTGTCGTGCATGCAGCTTACTATTAGCTTAATTTGAGAAATTCTTGCAAATAAGGCAGAATTTCAGGGGGAAATCAAATTTTGAACTGATGAAGTTTTGCAAGTAGCAATGTTGGCTCCAGCGACATCCCCATGGTCTAAGAAGTTTTCGGAGCGCTTCCTAGCAGGTACTGGAAATCAGAAGGGTTCGAATGCAGTGCAGGGTTATTTAAAACACTTGACAAGAAAGTTCGAAAGCAAGTAATTTTTTATGGTCCTTAGCTCAGTTTCTCAATTGGAACGTCGGATCACATTGTTTCGTCAAAGTGAAAGGGTGCTGGCTGCAGACCGCTTCATTTTCATCAGCATAAAGGATTTTACTGGCGAAACGGCAGAAATGGTTGCGCTGTGCAGGCAAACATCAAGCCTCGATCTTCGGCGAACCACGTCAGATTTACTTCAAGTTGAAGAACCTGTCTAGCGAGCCCGACGTTGAACAAGGCAACTGCTCATGTGTAGCGGGCCTCTCCAAATGGTGCTAACACTTTTGTGTTACGTTGCTACAGGCAAGGCCCTTAGCAGTTTATGAGATAATTATGCTGTGACTCGTGCTGCTGATTGCATGTATTCTATCAAGTTTCGTTGTCCTGTAAAAAGCTGAACACGCATGCCGTTTACTTGATTACAGAATGGAGCTATGCCTAGGTCATGGTGTATCTTGAGATAAGGCAAATCATCATTTCAATTGTAATAAAAGTGCTACTTTTTTGTTCGTTAATCTATGTCATTAGGTTTCTAATGAATAAGGTCGTGTTTCTCCGAACACTCGCTTGTTCGTGTTGGCAGTAGTTGATATTCAAAGGAGATATATGCATGCACACTACGCATGCACACTACGCATGCTACGAATGGCCAGACGGGCGCGCACGACCTTAGCGTGCACATGTGTGTGCTTGTTTACACAAAGGTGAAATAAAAATTGTTTGGGGAGAAGGACAACAGCTTGGTTTGAGAATGAGTAGCACTAAGACTTGTGCTTGAAACAATCATATGCAGAAAATACAGTCAGACACGTAACGCATCAAGTTTTCTACACCCCTTGCTTATATAAACGAAACTGTACTCTGCTCTTACAAATACCTGAATATCGATAAGAATGCGCACACGGTAATGGTGTACTCACTGGGTAGAATTGAATTGATTGGAAGAAACTATTGTAGTGTTCGTCACCTTCTTTCTAATGAGTAAATTTTTTATATGCGCCATTCTCCATCGTGCGACCTCTGCATTCTTTCGGAAGTGGTAAAAGGCTACCTTAATTGTTATTTTTTCACGGCATTGCCACAGATTGTAGCACACTGCAATGGTCTTTGGACATCGCTTTCTTCTGTTTAGGGCTTGCGCATGCGGGATGATGAAAATAAAGGAACTACGCAGCTGCTTTTCAACACACGTAATGTGGTAATATATCTCCTTCCAAGATTGACCCTGTTATCGCTGTTTCCAGGCAGCAGATGCTAAGTTGTGAGCGCTCACTTGGAGTCGAATTCACCCTTCATCCGACAGATATGGCCTGCTTGTTTCATGTCTGCTCTAGCTGTGTTCTTTGGCAGCACCGGCACGATTTAGGTTGGGTGTGGAACAGTGCGACGCGCAGAGCGCTGTTATTTATGGGACTTAGTGCAGAACATGACGGTGTCACTCATTGCAAGAACCTGCTGAGGGTTCATATATCGCAAAAATATAAACGCTGAGTTTGAAAAGCTCCGAGCTGCATTTGCGGTCAGGTGAGAACATGCCACCTAAATGGAAATATGCACTGCCCCCTGTTGCTCTGGCGTCTGTGTTTGCCTCTTTTTGTTTGTGCTCAATTCTCAACTGACGTCACCATTATAGTCAAAGCACTAACGGCTCCCTGAATATTTGTGTGTTTATTTTATACAGGCACCTATCGAGCAGAAAAAGGAAACACAGAGGCACCGCATGTCGAAATCGCAGCATGAGTCATCCGGCAGCAAAAATACTAGTCGCTCGACGCACAACAGAGAAAGAGAACACCGAGAAAAGGGTGCTCCCAAAGATCACCGTGACGTCCGAGATCAGCGCGACTTCCGAGAACAGCGCGACTTCCGAGAACAGCGTGACCTCCGAGACCAGCGGGACTTCCGAGACCAGCGGGACTTCCGAGACCAGCGGGACTTCCGAGACCAACGTGACTTCCGAGACCAGCGTGACTTCCGAGATCAGCGCGATTTCCGGGACTCCAGAGAGTTTCGAGATCAGAGAGACTTCAGAGATTCTCGAGACTTCCGGGCCGATGTACGGGGGGATGGTCGAGACTCCCGCGATGTTAGGGACAAGGACTACCGGGAACATCGAGAGAAGGAGCACCGCGACCACAGGGACAAGGATTACAGGGACAAAGATTATCGCGACAAGGACTACCGAGAAAAGGATAAGGACTATAGGGAAAAGGACAAGGATTACAGAGACAAAGACTATCGCGAGAAGGACCACCGGGACAAGGACAGTCGAGACCACCACAGCCGCCGGCACCGTGACCAAGGAGAGAAACGAAAATCGAACAAATGAAACTTTGCTGGTGATGGTGAAAGTGAGATCGTGTACATATGCATTAAAGGCTCATCTTTCGTTCTTTTCAATGTACATATATTGAGTCTTTTTACAACTTGAATGTGACAACAGTTCAGTAGTGTGACTGCTGCACTGTTGTCACACACTGTCGGTTTCATTAGGTTGTGTCTTGAAAAGAAGCGAGCCCTCGTTCTATCCTACCCTGTTTCGTTTACTGAACTTCTGCCACAACAGTTCATCAATGCATGTTTGCTGACGCAAACTCATAAAATTGCAAAGCTGCTTTTAATTTTGTTTGCTAAAAGTTGTCATGGATAGGTTTCGAGGTAGTGGAAAAGTTAAGTTAGGCTGTTCATGTTTTATAGGGCCCCTAAACTCCTTCCGATATTTTCCCAAACATTTCAAGTAAACAAGAGCATCGCGTGCAGAATGCCGTCGTGATCAACGATGCCACACGCCGCAGCGCTTACAGGTAGTGGGCGTGCCACAATTTCGAAAAAACAACAGGTCTTCTTTGCCGGTCCCCGTCCATTACCGCCACTGACATGCGTGACATCACCAGTGAAACTCGATGATGTCACCAATTTTGATGCTTGCGATCTGCCGCACGACAACCGACGACTTCTGGTCACTCTGCAAGCAGCTGTTCGCGCGCATCCTTGCTGTTCTTGGTCGTGTTGGCAGCTTGCGAATCGACATCTGCGGCCAATAATGCAACCGCCAAGTCGCTAGCGTAGGGGCACTGGACCGCACGACAGCATCAGCGGTTAGTCAACGATCAGTGCACCCAGATGACACACAACACAGTTGACGGCGAGCTGGGGCGTCGGAGTGGTAGATCGCGGCAACTGGAAGTAGAAGCTGCTTTGAACAGTACGTCAGCGGTGACGTATGCCACGCGAGATGAGGAGGGGCACTCAGCTGACTCAGCGAGGAGAGGCCAAGCGGTTTTGGAAGACAGCAGTGTAGGAAAGAGGGAAAGAAGCGATCGTCGCATTTTGATTATCAAACGCGCGTAACTCAGCTAAAACGACTCCGTTTCGAAATATTTTCAGAGCTACGTGTTCGTTGTGAACTCTAGCACAACTTCCTCACCTCAGCTAAATTTCCACCGCTGGGTGGTTTGGGGACCCTTTAAGTAGGGATTGTAATGTTATATCAATAAAGAAAGTCGTGGAACAACATATGCCGTTACACGCTATGGCCAATATTTGGTGCCACTGCCATGATGACACGGTATGACCACGTTTGATATTAACGTTTGACCTTAGACATTGTCATAATCTGCACTCTTGTGGGTAATTTGTCTACGTGGCTTCAAATCGCATTCAGCGTAGATTGAGTTTTTTTATGATAAAAGGAATTTAGGTGTTTAAGCTATTCTCTATCGAGCTTTCTGGCTGAGAACGTTGAAAAAAATACCAATCTTTTTTTATTTGCTTGTTTGCTTCCAGGCCTCCTGAAAATGCTAATAAATATTCATAGTAGCTTTATGTGCAATACAAGCAAAATATATTTTTTTTAATGAAAACGCTCTCTTTCCGGTGGTTGTTTTCAGAGATCTCGACTTTATATTAGAGGAACAGAATACGCTTCAACTACTCGGACAAAAAAAAATGTTGCGTATCTGCCTTACAACACTAGACGGGCCTGCATTTCTGGCCCGGCCATTATAAAAACAACTATTGAGTTGTTGAAGTTCAACTGATTTATTGAATTAACCGATTTTCAACGACTTAGCAAGATGTATTGACGCTGCTCAGGACATACTTAATGATTTTCTGTGGACTTCATCAACAGAAAACTCTGTTAACTATATCAACGAAAAAAGATGTTTACAGTAGTTATTGAGTTCCGGTGTACGTATGAGCGTGAATTGCCTAACTTGTAAGGTATCTGAACTTTTTTATAGGTTGAAAGCATGAAAGGTAGGAAGCGCATACCCCACAGATTGCATGTTACAATTGTTCCGTGGATATGCGGTCTTCTATTGCTTGAGTAAAGCTATATACACCTGGTAACGTGATTTCACCTGCCTGGTCATTCTAATTAGCGCTAATCGAACGATGCTCCACATGACTATTCAGGTGGCAACAATGCTAAAGCGGGCTTATTGCTGCAAAACTGAAAATGACACAGTGAAGGTGTACTTTCCTGTGTACAGCTGCGTCCAGCAACTGCACTGCTGCTGAATACACCAAAAAAGCTAGGTTAATTCATTGGTGGAGTTACATGGGCCGAAATCACAATATGATTATGAAGCACTCCGTCGTGGAGGCTTTAGAAATTTCGAAACACCCAGGGCTTCCTAACCAGCACTTAAAAGTAAATCAGCCCCTAGCATTGGCGCCTCCTTCAGAAAGTTAAAAAAAAAAAAGAGGACCCTTTATGCAATAGCGATATTGGAACCTCGCCCATATGTAGCCTAATAGAAACCACAGCTAACTTCGAAAAACACGGACATGCACAAAGAAAAGCGAGGACACGCCGTATTGCTTTCACGATCGCTAGCCTGCCCGCGTATCTCGTTTTACATGCACCGGCATCACAATATGATTATGAAGCACTCCACCGTGGAGGCTTCGGGAAATTTCTAACTACCCGAAGCTTTAACCTACACGTAAACCAAAGCACATCGGCCCTGAGCATTTCAGCCTCATTAAAAAAATTCACAGCTTTGCCGCAATGACGAAGCAATGAACGCAATAGCAACAAATTGGAAGGCCACGCGCACAATGGCAAGCAGATTGAAACGTGCCGCGCGTTTCTCATGCACAAATGACGCATGAAACGTACTCACAGGTACAGGTAAACGCGAATAAGTGTCTCGATTGATTGATTGATTGATTTGTGGGGCTTAACGTCCCAAAACCACCATATGATTATGAGAGACGCCGTAGTGGAGGGCTCCGAAAATTTCGACCACCTGGGGTTCTTTAACGTGCACCCAAATCTGAGCACACGGGCCTACAATATTTCCGCCTCCATCGGAAATGCAGCCACCAAAGCCGGGAATTAAACCCGCGACCTGCGGGTCAGCAGCCGAGTACCTTAGCCACTAGACCACCGCGGCGGGGCGTGAATAAGTGTCTCGGTTGTTAGTTCGCTCTGTCTGAAAAGCGCGTCTTTTTCGCAAACGGAAACTGTGCAACGATTGCAGCAACTTTCGTGCGCCTGGTAATGGATTTGTGGGGTTTAACGTCCCAAAACCACTGTTTGATTATGAGAGACGCCGTAGTGGAGGGCTCCGGAAATTTTGACCACCAGGGGTTCTTTAACGTGCACCCAATCCTGAGTACATGGGCCTACAACGTTTCCGCCACCATCGGAAATGCAGCCGCCACAGCTGGGATTTGATCCCGCGACCTGCGAGTCAGCAGCCGAGTACCTTAGCCACTAGGTCACCATGGCGGGGCGTGCGCCTGGTAACTACAACAGAATCATTACAGTGAAAGCCCAACGCCAGCCGCAGCATACCATCCTCCCCATCGAGTAATGACGCGCGAAAGAGCGTCCGCTTAAAGTTACTGTATATGCTGCCTTTTAAAGGTACCATATACAGTTACTCTACGTCCACTCTCCTCTCCGCGAGCCGAAGTACGCGTGGGAGATGAGAGCGTGCGCCGCCGCGTCGTGACTATGTGGCGACGTGCGCTCATTTCGTCGTCTTGCTGATAATTCTGAAAACGCGATAGTTCCCCCCAAGATGCCCGTCAACAGCTGTAAGTGGTAGATATAAATATATCTCCGTTTTAATGTGAAAGGAGGTGCTCCTAGGTGGCTTATGGCGTATTCGGTAGGCCGCTCTGGTCCTTTGGCTCAGAGTCACCAGATGCAGAGGCAGCTCGAAATTGGAGCGTGAGAGGTAGCGTACCACCGAATACATCGGCAATGTCGGAGCGCCCAGAGCAGCGCGCCTGTAGCGCCACTGTGCAGCCAGCGCGGAAAGCTGCATGGTAAACACTGCTGCGCCGCCTCAACAAATGGTGCCGATCAGTTCAGTGGATATCTCTGACATGTTTGGCCATTCCTATAATCTTTCTTTCGCTCTCTCTTACATGTTTGAATGTAGCGAAAGCCTTCTGAGATCAGCACATAAATCTGGCGATCGTACTGGTCCGAGATGCCATCTTCAAGGCAAATCACGGGGCTGTATGCAAGCTGCTGTAACGACAGCATTGACACTTCCACCGCCTTCGCTAGTCGCCTCGCTAATGGCTGGTGCATTATGGCTAGATGTGAATTCGCCCCACACACGTCCAAAAACGCCACTAACAACGCACGTGCAAGAAGTACTACGCGGCCGGCAATGCCTCCTTATATATAATTAAGTGGTTTTAACACACGAAAAGAGAAAAGTGCCGACCCGTAACTGTCTCTCCTTACAAGGACACCTCAAGAAGTCAGCACAGGAATGGGGTATGGGGAATAAAAGACATAGGGAGGGTAAGATTGGAGAAGAGGAAAAAAATTGGCAGCATATCCACGGAGTTAATGATGAAGAGTGGGGTGAAGCAATCGTCCGTCCATTCGTTCTTGCTTTCGTCCGTCCATGCGTCCATTCGCCCGTTCGTGCGTGCGTTTCGTGCGTCCGTCCCTGCGTTCGTCCATGCATCCGTCCTTGCGTCCGTTCATGCGTCCATCCATGCATCTGTCTGTGTGTCCGTTCGTCCATCTATTCAACACTCCAAGTACCACCATCTCGCATCTTTTCATCACATATTCCCTATATAGAAGCACCGCCATCCAGCGGACATTCCAAGGAATAAACGAAAGGTTGCACACGCACACTTTCTTACGGCTTGCGCTTCGGGTCTACTTCCCACCTTTAACCACCTCGAGTTCATGGTATATACTAGTTCACTGTATTCACGGCACTGCGGGCCAACGCTCGCTAAACCTTTCTAAAACCAAGGATGTTACGCCCAGCGAGTATAACGTAGTAACTTTTTCCTGTCAGATAGTGCTCAATGTTCATGCCAATGACTGATAATGAGAAATGAGAGACAGGAGAATTCGGCTTTTACTTTCTTACGGCTTGCGCTTCGTATCTACTTCCCACCTTTAACCACCT